GCCACCCCGGCCCTGCCCCAACCCAGCCCTGGTGTCCCTGTGCCACCATTCCAGACACTGCAGCCACCTCAGCACTGCCCCAACCCAGCCCTGGTGTCCCTGTGCCACCATTCCAGACACTGCAGCCACCCCGGCCCTGCCCCAACCCAGCCCTGGTGTCCCTTTGCCACCACTCCCCAGTGCTCCCCAGTGCCTCCAGGGCTTGGAGATCCCAGTCATTCTGGTCTCCCCATGGGACATTCCCACACTGACCTCCGCTCTTTCCGTTCTCCTGGTCCCAGGGGTGTTGGTGCCCCAAGAAGAGGGGTCAGTCCAGCCCCCAGTTCAGCCATGGGGCTGGAGTGGGAACTGGGACAATTCTGCTCAGCCACGCTGGGTTTGGCGCTGGGCTCCGCTCTGGGCTGTCCCACAGGGAAAGCTCTGGGAGGGAAGGGGCAGCAGGAGATGGGGGATCTGGCTCTGGGGGCTGTGGGAGGATGGATTGTGTTGCACTGGGGGCTGTCCCCACAGGGTCCCCAGGTGCCTTTGCCTCCCTGCCTGCCCCCCCGGCCCCCCCAGGTGCCTGGGCCCCTCCAGGGGCAGCTGCCCCGGGCAGGAAGCTGGAGGGATGCCGGGCAAGGGGGCTGGACCCGTGCCACAGCTGGGCTGGGGTGGACTCTGGGCCAGGGCTGGGCTTGTGGCCAGGGCTGGGGGCTGTGCCAAGCCGGGCTTTGGCCTGGGGGCTGGCAGGGAGGGTGCAGGGAGGAGTCCCGGCAGGGATAAAGGTGCTCCTCACCTGCTGCAGCCTCAGGTGAGAGGAAGATGAAGGTGGCTGTGCTCAGCGTGGCCCTGCTCTTCTCCATCCTGCTGTGCCTCCCAGCAGGTACTCAGGGTAGGAGACGATGTTTCCTGGACCCAAGACGGGGCTTGGTTTGCTACCATGACTTCGGCTCCGGTGGAGGGTTCTCTCACCACAGTAAGTGGGAGATCCTTTGGGTTGAGATCTCTAGGATTTTCCTTTGGGCTGGAATCTTTTAGATTTTCCTTTCTGGGATTTTTCTTTGGGTTGGAATATTTTGGATTTTCCTTTCTGGGATTTTCCTTTGGGTTGGAATCTCTGGGATTTGCCTTCCTGGGATTTTCTAGCCATGGGATGGGGTCTTTGGGGACCTTTTCAGCCCCATAAGGTCCAACCCTGATGTCCCTCTGCTCCCCTTCCTCAGGGCACCATGGATTTGGGCTTGGCAAGTTGTTCCATTCTCATGGTAAGTTCTGGAGTTTTGGGGGAACTGGGAACCAGTTTTTGGTGGAACTGTGGCAACTGGGAACCAGTTTGTCCAGCCCATCCCTTACTGGGGCCGGAGACACACTGGTGATGTGTCACCATCTCTCTGCAGAGGATAGTGACAGTCAGGAAGAGCAAGGTAAGAACTGGGAATTGTGGGGCCAGACCCCCTGAGGGCTATCACCCATCCCAGTGCACCCAGTAAATCCCAGTGCACCCCAGGAAATCCCAGTGCTTCCTACAGTCCCCCATTGTATTCCCACTTATCCCAGTGCCCCCCAGTTGTTCCCAGTGAGACCCTCATTGTATTCCCAGTTATACCAGTGCCCACCAGTAACTGCCATAGTGCATTGTTCCCTGTCTACTCCTTGCCCTCTTTCCCCCCTTGCCCATTCCTTTTGCCCATCTGTGGGATGTCCCCAAATCCCAAACCCAAACCCAAATTCCCTTCCCAAACCCAAATCCCAAACATAAACCCAAACCCAAATACTCTTTCCAAACCCAAATCCCCTTCCTGAACCAAAATCAAATCCCAAACACAAACCCAAACCCAAATTCCAAACCCAAATCCCCTTTCCGAACCCAAATACCCAATCCCTTTCCTGAACTGAACTCAATTCCCAAACCCAACCCAAATTCCAAACCCAAATCCCCTTCCCAAACCCAAATCTCCTTCCTGAACCCAAATACCCTTCCCGAACCCAAATCCCAAACCCAAATCCCAGACTCAAATCCCAAATCCAAACCCAAATCCCAACCCCAAATCCCAAATCCCAATTCCCCAATACAAATCCAAATCCCAAATCAACCCCAAATCTCAAACCCAAACCCCATATTCCTAACCCAAATTCCAAATCCCAAACCCAAATCCCCATCTCAAACCCCCTTCCCAAACCCAAATCCCAAACCCAAATCCCAAACCCAAATCCCAAACCCAACCCAAATCCCCTTCCCAAACCCAAATCGCAAACCCAAACCCAACCCAAATCCTCTTCCTTGTCCCTCCACTCTCAAAACCCCTCCCACAATCCTCGGAGTTTGGGATTTTTTCCCCTGTCCCATTTTCTCCCAATCCCATCCACCCCTTCAGGCCCTGTGTATCTCCATTGGAATTCCTTCCTCCTCCTCCTCCTCCTTTTCATCCTCTTCATCCTCCTCCTCCCCCACAGTGCCAGGCCTTCATCACCCCTGTCCCAGTCCCTTGGGGTCCCCAATTCCCCATTTGCTCATCTCTGAGGGCTCCTCTCCCATTCCTTACTGGGACTGGGAGCACCTTACTGGGGCTGGGGGAACCTCACTGGGAGTGGGGGAACCTCACTGGGACTGGGGACACCTCACGGGGACTGGGGACACCCCGGTGACATCTTGGGGTCTCTCCGCAGGGGACAGTGAGAGCCTCTCGAGTGAGGAGATCTGAGGTGAGCACCCTGAGTTCTTCAGGGCCCGGACCCTCCCCAGGCATGGTCACCACCCTTGGGGTCACCCCAGTGTGCCCCAGTACACCCCAGTGCCGCCCAGTGTCCCCCAGTACCACCCTGACCTTTTGGGGCAGCATCATCCGGCTGCCCTCTGGAGGCTCCATGGGGTCAGGAGCTGCTCCAGGTCCTTCCATGGGGTCAGGAACCTCTCCAGGTCACAGTTTGGGCTCTGGCTTTAGGATCGGGATCGTTGGTGACACTCGTGTGCCAACCCCTCCAGCGGCAGGAGGAGATCGCCATCCCTGGAGAACCCCACCCCGAACCCCTGGGAACTCCTCCGGAATGATCAATAAACCCTCAGCAGAGCTTGGTGTCTGTGTGTGGGAATGGGACTCCAGGTCCATCCATGGGGTCAGGAACTGTCCCAGGTCCATCCATGAGATCAGGAACTGCTCCAGGTCGATTCATAGAGTCAGGAAGTGTCCCAAGGTCCATCCATGGTTTCAGGAATTGTCCTAGGTCCATCCATGGGGTCAGGAACTGCTCCAGGTCCATCCATGGGGTCAAGAACTGCTCTGGATATATCCATGAGGTCAGGAAGTGTTCCAGGTCCATCCATGGGGTGAGGAACTGCTCCAGGTTCATCCATGGGATCAGGAACTGCTCCAGGTCCATCCATGGGGTCAGGAATTGCTCCAGGTCCATTCATGGAGTCAGGAACTGCTCCAGGTCCACCCATGGGGTCAGGAACTGCTCTGGATATAACCATGAGGTCAGGAAGTGTTCCAGGTCCATCCATGGGGTGAGGAACTGCTCCAGGTTCATCCATGGGATCAGGAACTGCTCCAGGTCCATCTGATGTCTTCTGAAGGCTGACCTAGAACAGAGATTGGACGGAGCTAAAGAATAAAGTAGGGATGTATTAAGAGGCCTCAATGGATCCACTTTGGGCAGAACAACCCAAAATGGCCACAAAATGGACAACAGGTCACGGGGTCTCATACTTTTATAAGTTTTGGTCCATCAGAATATTGAGGCTAATTGTCCTATTACAACCCCAGCCCATGGAGTCCCATCCTTCTTGTTTTCTCTCTTTGGTCCACATTGTTGATGCTCTTGGGCCTTAGATCTGGATCGGCTGTCCTTGAGAAGGAATTGTTGTGCCTACCTGCTCTGAGAAGAGAGGTTACTATCCCCTTATATGAAACCCAGACCCAAACACCAAAGCAGCACAAAATCAAAAAAAAAAGGAAAAAAAAGCTAAAACATGAGGTGTCACCAGAGGAATGAAGAAAAACGCGTTGGCAATGTCAGTAGTGGTATAGCACTGCTGCACTGGACTCCAGCTCATACTGGAGTTTCAACATATCCAGCACAGCAGCGCTCAGCGGTGGAGTCACTTCATTCAAGCCATGATAATCCACAGTCAATCTCTATTCTCCTTCAGACATGTGCACAGGTCTATGAGGCTGTTGAAGGGTGAGTGGGTTTTGCTGACCACCCCTTGGCCCTCCAGCTCACGGATCATTTTGTGGATGGGGATCACGGCATCGTGATTCGTCCAACACTGCCAGCAATGCACCGTTGAGGTGGCAATTGGCACTCGTTGCTCTTCCACCCTCAGGAGTCCTACTGCAGAGGGGTTCTCTGACAGTCCAGGCAAGGTGTTCAATTGCTTAATGTCCTCTGCCTCTACAGCAGCTGTGCCAAAAGCCCACCTGAGTCCCTTTGGGTCTCTGCAACATCCGTTCCAGAGGAAGTCTATGCCCAGAACACACGGGGCCTCTGGGCTGGTCACAATGGATGTTTCTGCTGCTCCTTCCCAGTCAGGCTCACCTCTGCTCCCAACAGGGTCAATTGCTGCGATTCCCCCGTCACCCCAGCAATGGAAACAGGTTCTGCCCCCACATGTCCTGATGGTATCAGGGTATAGTGTGCACCAGTATCAGCTAAGGTATCATATTTTTGTAGTTCTAATGTGCCAGGCCATTGGATCCACACCATCCAGAAGATTCGGTTTTCCCGTGCCTCTCCCTGGCTAGAGGCAGAGCCCCTCTAACCCTGGTTATTATTTCTTTCCTGGGCATGCATGGTAGAGGTACCTTCAGGAGGATTCGAACTGGGTAGGGGAGGGGCAACTCGAATCTGCTTTCTAAAAGGAGTCCTTCAGAAATTTCCTCCCTAAATTTGCCCTAAACCAAAACATGTACTCGGCAAGACTTTTCTTCTGCCTAGATAGCCTATTGATATATCACCAGAGAGTAGAGGAAAAAAAAATCCACTTCTGGATGTCTCAGGATTCTTAATCTATTTTATGAGCCTTAAATACTACAGTTCTTTGCACTGGAGAAATTTCAAAAGATCCTGGAACAATATTTTTCTTCCCCATGTGGCTGTTCTGAACCCAAAGTTTTCCTTTCCATGAATATTTTTAACCAGTAAGAATATTTTTAGGCTTTTGCTTACATCTCCCCTTTGTCAGGGAAGACAGAAGAATTCCTGTGACTCAGGAGCTGAGTGCACCTGTAAAGAGCTTGTGGGTCAAAGCCTGCTGTCTGGGTAATGCTAATGTGTAAAACTGACACTGTCTGGACCCAGAACTTTGAGCTCCTGTCACGAGCCATGCCACTGCCAGGCTGCCCAGCAGGGCTGTGGGGACATGGGAGTGGCAGAGCCAGTGCCAGTGCCAGCAGGGAGCTGGGATGAGGGTAGAGCCAGGGGAAGGGCTCTCCCACAGTTGCTGGAATGTTTGGGGTTTGGACCCTGGCAACCATCAACAGCCCATGGAACATTTGGGGTTTGCACTCTGCAGCTGCCAACAGCTCTTGGGCCTTGGGGGTTTGGACCTTGCAGAGGCCAATGGCACTCTGATATTGTGCTATTGACCCTGCAAGGGCCAACAACCCTTGGACATCAGGGTTTGGACCAGCCAAGGCCCATGACCCTTGGACATCAGGGTTTGGACCAGCCAAGGCCAATGGCCTTTGGATATTGACTTTTAGCCTTTTCACTGCCACCATCCCCCGGATATTGGTATTTGCCATGGCCCACGCTGCTCATGCCAAGGGGCAGACAGAGACCCAGCGGGTGAGGAAGCTGCTGCTCTCCCTGTGCCAAGCCCACGGAGGGCTGTGTGGGCCTGAACTGTCCCATGGGGGAACGTTTCCTTTGGGAATAACGAGGCATGCACAGCTGGCTGCTCCAGAGCTGGTGGCAGCTTTGGTGCTGGCTCTGGGGACAAACCTGGGAGGGAGCAGGGGGCTCCTGGCTTGGAAGGGTGACTCCCTCAGGAGCAGCCCTGCAGTCTGAGCAGGTTCTCACCCGTGCTCCTCCAGGAAGCTCAAGGGCTTGGAATGAGCCAGCAGTTCACCTCCCAAATGCTTTCTCACCAGTGACTCTCCCAAGAGCCTCTGAGGTGAATGAACTGTGAGCTGTGGTGAGCTGGCTCAGAGCCGTTTTGCAATGGGAATTAGGGAAGGCAAGTGCAGGAAGCCTGGAAGGGAGAAGCTGCCCTGCCATGGGTCTCCTGACTGCTGGGAAGGGGGAAAGTTGCATCTCTCTGTGCCCTGTTTTTCCCCAAAGGAGAATTCTCTCCTCCATCAGCTCCACAGGGTCTGGGACAGTGACTCTGCAGAATGGAGCAGGAACCTGACCTCAGAGGACCCTATTTAATTTCACTGTAAGCCCAGGAATAAATGCACGAAGCACAAACCGTGCTCAATGCAGAGGCAGATTTTGTGCATTTAGCTGAATTTTGGAACTGGCTCTCCATGAATGAACACCCATTCTTGTTGGGGTTAGAAGGGACATCTCGGGGGTACTTTGGAATTGGAAGAGAATTCCTCACTAACAGCTGGGGTGGGCTTTCAGGTGTCCTTAGACAGCAGGGGCAGCATGGCCAGTTCCTGTAGCTGCACTGACAGTTCCCAGCATGCAGACTCTGGGAACATCCCCCCAGCCCCAAGATCCACTGATGCACAGCATTCCTTTGGACTGGTTTGGGAAGCGCTGGCAAGGACACAAAGGACAGCTCAGGTGAGAAGTTCTGCTTGTCCTCCCCGCTGGCCACAGGCTCAGCTGCTGAGGCCTCGCTCAGCTCGACACCTTTCCATTCACTCAGCCACTTGAGGCCCTTTCTTTCTCCCTTTGGCTCTCCTGGTCCTGCACTGCCTTGCTGGTGTCCCCAGCTCTGTCTTCTACTGCTTTTGTGTCCTTGCTGTCCACCCTCTCAAGCACAGCTTCTGCCTTTGGGGGAGCTGTCTCTCTGCTTGCTGCTTTTCCCCGCTCCATGGAGACATCTTCCCTGCTCCTTATTGTGCTCTTTCCCTGCCTGTTCCTGCAGTTCCTGATAGACGAGCTTTTTACCACAGAGGACTCAAACAGCTTCCTGCTAGTAGGCATCAAAGAGGAGATTGATCTCCTCCCTGAGCAGAGGGAGGCTGCACAAAAGCAGGTCAGTGAAACAGCAGCGGCACTGCAGCCATCCAGCAGGAGTTCTGTGCCCTTCTTACCTTTCCATGCCAGAGCAGAGCTCAGGGGGTGATCCCTGGGGCTGCCTCATGCTGTGGGCTCCATGGCAGCTGCTCTGAAGGACACTTCAGGCTCTGCTGAATCTCAGCTGCTGCCCTGGACAGCTGGGCTAGTCCTCTGGGCTACTGGCCAGAACCATCAGCATGGATTTCTGCCGGACTCCTCCTGCTAGCCTTGCTTTTGATGTGCTTTTCCACATGCCCCTGGTGACCCAGTGAGAGCTGGAAACAAGTTGTCCATATCCATTGTGAATCTGGTCCTTTCAGGGCAGGGACAAATGGAAAATTGTCTTTTGCCTTTCCTCACAGTGCCTGCTGTGGCTGACAGGGACAGGCTGTAGCCTCTGACTGCTTTTTTCTGTTTGACTTGAGGTGGAAGAGTTGGCATCTTGGCTGGCAGCTTCCAGAAAGTGGCAGGAACTGACTGTCCACAAAGCTCAGCAGGATGGGAGTGAGGCCCTAGAGAGGGAAAAAGCCAGGTAAATGAACGGGACCCTGCATTGTGAGGAATGGATTCCCTCTTTCTGATCTTTGTATCTGCCAGCATTTCCTAAGGGGCAGAGCTCTGAAGTGTCCCTGCAGACGTGTTTCATTCTCTGGATGTTGTGCCTAATTTCTTTTGAGCTTATAGTTACAGTTTTTCTGAAGACAAAGGCTTTTGGAGTAGCTTTTTCCCTCTAGGGGGGTGTTCAGTTGTTAGGTCGGTGTCTTAACCCTGCCCAAGCTGCAGTGTGAGGAGCTGGATAAATCCACAGCTCCACCTTGGGTCAGGTAACTTGAGCCCTTTGGGAGCTGGATCAGCCTGGCTTCCTGATTCCTCTGCTTGGCAGAGCAATC